GTCGCCAGATCGCCCATCAAACCAGGCACGATGACATTTGATCACCATCCGATGTTGTCGTGCCTCGAGGATATCTCCTCCCCACGCCTTCACTGCCTCCAAAATTAGATCTCATGCTCACCATCCGCGTCCACGAGGCCCTGCTTTCTTTCGACACCCACTACCACTGAAGAACCATGAATATGGACCAATCCGAGTTCGTCTTCCTCTTCTTTACAGCGAGCTGACGGAATCTTACATCTTCCAGGCCATGGTGCTTCACAGGTGCGCATTCTCTGCTTGGCCGTGCTGAAGCTCGAGGCCAAATGACTTTCAGTCCTCCAAATGCAAGGCCTGCGCCTCCTGCGCCCCGAAAAGTCCTGGCGGCCCATCATCACCGTCGACGTCGACAACCACCACTGCTACGAGTCCGTCATGGGTATCGATGGCCAGAATCCGAACCAGAAAGAGCGCTTCTATCTGTGCGTGTCCTATACTACATTGATACTGACTATTTAATATCGACGCAAGCAGCCACCAAGCCCACACGTCCTCGACGCTCGACATCCGCGTGTGGCACCGCTCCTCTAGCAAGAAAAAGAAGAAGCGCAACCTCGTGGCTTCGGCCACACACTCGCTCGGCGAGCTGCTTCGGAGGGTGGATAAGGATCCGAGAGCAGGTACGTGTTTCTACTAGTGTTAGCTTATTCCCTTCTTGCTATCGTTACCACTCACACCCTCAAATTCACCTCATCCCTGACGCTGACCGCCTCGCTGCTACAGCCCTCGAAATCCGCCTGCAATGCCAATCCGCCTCCACCACGAAACGGCGGCGCGCAAACAGCGGTTCCACCACGACGAGTAAAGGGAAACTGCAGGGCGGGGTCATGGTTTTGTTGCGCATTCGACCTCCGACAACGCTGCCATCGGGTTCAAGCACGACTTCGAGTCATGAAGGAGAGTCTGGGGAGTCGGGCATGAGCGATAGCGACGAAGAGGCGGAGTCATCATGTACGTGTCGCATACATCCTCGACCTGAATTTCCCGGGGACTGACGTACCACGCGGTTCTACAGCTGACGGCACACCGCCTACACCAACGCAGGACTCGTGGCCAGACGACTCCACGTCCACACTAATCCCACCCCCCACTCCTCCCGAAGGTCTCCGACGGCGCAGACACCGACGACCGCTTGTCGGCTACACGATCGACTCCGGGGACGAGCAGCCTATATCAGAGTGCTCATATCCCTCCTCGTCCGAGGCCGATGACGACAACGAACGGAGCCCCTTCCTCCACGATCACGATCACGATCACGACCCCTCCTCCAGCGACGATGACACCTCCAAACACAACCACGACCACAACCACGACCAATACCACGACGACGCCCCCGCCGCCAGCATCATCCGCATATCCCAAGGCGCCCGCCCAGGCTCCGGATGGACCGGCTCCATCCGCATCTCGCAAGCCGCCGGGGAGGGGCTTGCCCTCGCTCTCCAGCCCGGAATTCTCCCGCAGTATACCGAGAAGATCGAGGTCCCGGACGATAAGCAGGAGCTTACGCTGCTGGAGAGGATCCTCGCGAGCTTTACGGTGTATGCGGAGCTCAAGGCTGCGCGCACGGAGGAGGAGTTTGGGCGGGTGTTTGGGAGACTACAGGTTGAGTGGGGGTATGTCGGGGGTATCGTACGTCCTCTCCGTCATGGTGATTTATGTTCGTTTTCTGATGATTGTGTTTTGATAGTTAGTTGCGTTGGCCGCGTACGTTTTCCCCTCGCAATTCCCCGTACAAAACTTGCTGACAGCGACTCTACAGCGTATCCACGGCAGTATTCGCAATCGCCCCCGACGCGGTGTTCACCGTCGACTCGTACGCACGCTCAGCCATCGCAGCCAGCGCCATCGCCTCCGGCCTCGGCATCTCCTGCGACGCGTGGTTCCTCCTCCGCTACGGCTGGGCCGATATCACAACATTCACCGTACGTCCCTCTCCCCTCCCACTCCTCATCCCCATTCATCCATCCCAATGTACTGAATCCCGCATACAGACACGCGCCCTCGACCTCTTCGCCACCTACTTCTTCTTCTCCCTCTCCTCGCGGCTCCCCACCATCTGCCTCTTCCTCTCCGCCCTCTCCCTGATGTTCTTCATGGCGCTCGTGGCGTTCGACGTATGGCCCGTCGGCGTGCTGCTGCTGTGTGGTGCCGTCGGGGGCGTGATGACGCTTCAGTTCCTCGTTTATGGTGTCGGGTGGGTCGGGAGAGGCGTGCTCGGAGCTGGGAGGAGGGTCGGCCGGGGTGTAAGAGGGGTTGTGGTGGTGATAAGGAGGAAGAGTGCCGATGGGAGTGGGCGTGGAGAGAAAGGAGTGGAGACGGGGACGTGAAGTGTTTGTGCGAGTGCTGTGATTCCAGTATTTGTAGTACCCCTGTTGCATCGATCGACGGCTCACTGCTCCAACACGCGGTCCGATTTAGAGTCTCTATCAGCGCCAATTCTACTCCTCTCCTCTCCAAATCGGACTCGAACTGCCAAAAATTAGCCTCGAAGACCACTAGGCCGGCCTCGGGATTCAGGTTCCTCTCTTACTGCTCATTTCCTATCTTGCATTGCTCGCCAATTCTCTTCCTCTTTACTAACCCCTCAGTATATTACCTCCACGGGGGCATAGCTCAGTTGGGAGAGCAGCAGACTGAAGTCCTGGTCAATTCCAGGGTATTCTGAAGGTCCCGCGTTCAATCCGCGGTGCCCCCATGTCTTTCAATCTCCATTTCCTTTTTCGTTGACGCGTCTCTCTCCTTTTGTCTTGATGCATCCTGTCTTTCAAATTCTCCTGCGGTTCATTCTTTTCTTGACTTTTGAGTCCCTCACTCTTGTTGATGCACTCTCCGGTGCCAGTCTGACTAACAGCCTTTTGACGGTAACCTGTGCATGAAGCTCCCCAGAGCTTCTGATATGTGCTCCTGAGCATGCTCTGTCCATTCAGCATCACAAGTCTGTGATACTGGACTGGAAAAATCACAATTATGTTCTTGAAGGTTGGAGTTCATAAGCAGAATGCATTGCATTGCCAGAATTGTGTTTGAGATTTTCATGTCAATTTTGACAGGACTCTGGACATTGATTAAAAAGTCATAGACAGATTTATGGAGAAGCCTGATTACAGAGTTTTTTTCCACTTTGAGTATTGGCATTACAGAACTGATCACTCCTTTGCAGTCCTCCAGTTGAACTTGATTTCCATTAACCAACCTAAACAGGACTTTATGAATTAACAATTCATTGAGAGCCTCTAGTTTCAAAGGTGTTTTCAAAGTGGCAATTGCTTGCAGGATATAGATCAGGGTGTTTTTCTGGAATGCAGTTTTTTTCTCCTTCATACTTTTGTCAAAAACAACAAGATATAGCATCTCTAGCTGGTCTAGCTCATCAATGGCTTGCTGGCCTTCTGATAAT